AAGGATGTGGAAGTAAAATAAAGATATAAATATTCTTGATGTTCAACCTGTGTTATCAAAAGGCCTTTGGTTATAAGGCTTTTAAACGGTTTTCTGTTATATAACCATTACCAGGAAGTTTGTGTTATACATGTATAAGCATATAACTGTTTATACTAGATCATATAACTCTTCTTAAATGACGCTGTGTTTTACGTCATATGTTGTAGCAAAACTACTAAGAGCCCCATTTACTTATAACATAAGTCTTACAGAGTTTAATAGGTCCTTTTAAATAGTAAGGAGATGTTTCTGGCTCATAAGCAGATCTTTAAAAGCATAATGTTATATATAGTTTGTAATTCCACCAGACCAATGGGTTACCTATAAGCAAATCTAAATATTTAAGTTTAAATTAGAAAGTCATAGATAATACATATCAGTGAGATATTTCAAAGCGAATCGTATTTTTTGTCAGTGAAAATCAAGTGTACCTTTGATATAAAAGGCAAAATTGCATGAATGTCCTATAGGTTGTGCATATCGGATTTATTTTAGTGTACATGTATATATCCGAGAACAAGAAAACTGTTTAAGGAATAAGGAAAACAAATAATTTCTACACACTATTAAGCTGTGTGTTTTTTTGTTTTTTTTTGGTTTTGTGTACTTATTTTTGTTGAACTTTCTGAAGTTTCCAGGAAATAAACACGTTCAACAAATGAATTCCGGATTACTAACGAAACATCCGGTGTTCTTTTATGTTCTGGTTTGAAAGAAAATTTCACATTTTCTGGAATGTAGGAGATACATACACATACTATTTATGTCAAGGAAGATCACGCATAGCTGAAAACAACTTATCCCTAGAACATTTATCACACTTCCACCGGAATCATGGTAATGCTATTATAAACACACGTGATCTTACAATAACTGTGCTTGAAGTTTTTTTTAAGAATTGGTTCAATGATATTTACGATACCGTAAATCAGTTACACCCTATTTAAATTGAAATCAGACTTATACCGTATCATTTTCAAGCTATGCCAAACAGACTTAGCTCATATTGCAAAGTTGTTATTATTGTGTGTTATGCTTGACCTTTTGAGACTCTAGGAATGAAATGAGTGATTTTTTTATAATTTGTTTTATGTTCTTCGAGAATACGAATGATACATAATTCAAATGATTCATCCCTCACATTCTAATCCGCCATTAGGGGCACAGCTGCAAGTACTCACTAGTGATACCCAAGACTGTGCCGGCCGCGGCCACCGTAACCGGAGAGGTTTAGGCGGAAGAGGCGAAAATGTAGCTGGCCAAACTTTTTGTCTATATCTCTTTCTTTTGACCTATTCAACCTCTTCTAACTTTGTATCATTTCACGTATATTTCTTTTTATTGACCTAGCACCACCCGTCGCGTTATAATCAAGTGTGATTGCGCCGACGTACGATGTAGATTTAGTAGATATAGGAGGAACTGCCGATATCTCCGTCGCTCCGTTGAATTCTTTCAACGTTGCACAAAATTAACAAATGTTGCATCATTCAATCAGTGCATTTGTAAACATGTACCAATAACATCGCATAACTGGTTTTTAAAGTAATGATACATAATTCAAATAATTTACATTAAAATGACTGAAATTCATCTACAACGCATTTAATTAATTGGCATATCTCTATATATTTATATATGAATTATAATGGATTAATTATTTTCAGGCTTAATTTTGGTAATAAACATCCGATATAATAAATTGCTCCATAAAGTAGAATTATCAGACAAATGTTTGAAGAAGGGTATTAATATATTTACAAAAACAAATACTTGCATTACCTATTTATACTTAGAATTCGTTAAAACAAAAGTCTAGAAAAAAGTAAAGCTTAGTTAATGAATAGTTAGTGCGCTATTTATAACGTAATTGCAAACACACTTGATGATATACTAAATTTGATTAATTATTATCTTCTGTTCTTAAAATATCGTTATTTTCTTTATTATCTAGCCATTTGTAATATCATTATTACTGACCTACAATTAAGTAAGGTAATAGAATGTCTATATAGTCAATTTTGTCAGAATTTTTTTGGTACCTTAGACACTATGCCTAAACTTACTACATATAAAGTTATAAAAAGATGTTTTGATATTGAAAAATATTTGCTATGTGTTAAGGTGAATAAGCATAGAATAGCATTAACTTAGACTACGGTGCTCTGCTCATAAACTTGCAATAGAAGAGGGTCGTTATCGGAAACATTAGTAGGATGGAAAGGAAATGTATATTTTGTAACATGAAAGTCATAGAAGACGAGTATCAATTTTGTACTTGGTCTGTCCGCAATTATCGTACTATAAGAAATCAATGTCTCCCAAAATTATTATTCCAATTGGCCAACTATACCAAGAAATTTCAGGCACAGTTTTTAACTTGTAGTCAATCTTGGTGTGTTTATGTAAACTTGCTAAAAATTATGTTTTTTCTGGCTGATAATAAACCCGTACTAGTCTTATTGATCAGTCAGGTATTGTATTGAAAATTGAAATGTAAGAAAACATAGTTTGATGTAATCATTAAAAAAAATGCTGCAGTAATGTTTGTTTCATACATACAATTGGGTTGCTAACAAATTTTTAAATGTTAAGCAAAAAGAAATTAAAAGGGGAGGTTATCCTTTAAAAAATGATGCATAAAGGGAAACCCCAGATTGTTTTTCCCTTTTTTTACCCCTTGGGATCTATATGTAAATTAGGAAAAAAACGTTTTTAAAGTTATTTTTTTTTTTTTTGGATATTTTCCCAGAAACCTTTTTTAAATAGCAAAAGTTTTTAATTTAAAAAATAAAAACCCATTTTTTTAAAAACACCCCGGGTTTATGAAGGTGGCTGAAATAAAAATTTTTTAAATTTTTAAAGTTAAGGTATACCCAAAATTGTGTTGCATTTTTCCCCAGGTTTAAAATACCCCCTTTTACTGGCCTTCGGGGCCCGGTTTGTTTTGCAAATTTTTGGTATACATCTTTTTTTACATAGAAAATAATGTGAATTAAATTAGGGTATGCAAAATATTCCCATCTCTTCCTCAAATTTGAAACCCCGGCCGCCCCAAATTGTTTAAAGGGCCCCGCCCAAAACATAAATGTTCTTTATGCTGAATAAAAAAAATTGGGGAATTAAAATTGGGAATTTTTTTCGCTAAAAGAATTTTTTAATGAGTTTACCTCCCCCCACCTCATCACCGATGGTATATTTAATTATTTTATGCTTTTAAAGTTACTAAACATTAATTTGAAAACAATAGAAATATGAAAAATGCATAAATTTATCTGATTTACATTAATTAAATCATTTCATACATCTTTCCGTATTTGCGTTTAGTAGAAGAATTACATGAATGTTCTCCTCTCATTATATAATTCACTTTACGTCATAAATGAACGGAACGGTTTGTTATTATTTTCATACATGATAATATCCACTTGAACAATATTGTTATTATGAGAACATCGATATTTTGATTTGATTTTTTCATATGTGTAAGAATGTTTAATAATGTCTCTATATTTTATAGGCGTCAAAAATACGATTTGTTGAACATTTGGCTGCGTTATTTTAAATCTCTTTAAACAAAATTGTTGTGATAAAAAGATAATTTGGAGGGTATTGTTTATTTACATAAATCTTCATGCTTTATAAATATTGCAATATGGTTTTTCTTAATGATTACATATTTATTTTGCTTCTGATAATACGTCATCTAAAGATACGATATAAATGTCAGAATATTTAAACAAAGAAACTAGCTCGTTATCATGGTAACTTGATATCAATACCAGTAATTTATTAAAATTATTTTGTTTTTCAGATATTCACAGATTAATTAACGTACACATAAGTTTACTGTCTCGCCAGGGATTCTTTACTAAGATTGATAAAATACACATAACAGCATTAAATAAGAGTATGGATATCATATTAAGTTGCATTAATTGGTGTGGGGTGGCTTGTCAATAAATTCCGAATTTGAAGGTTGTACGAACAAAGTTACTTATGGTCTGTTAGCTATGGCGAAAATGGAGAATCAAGTCTATTCTGCAATCGTACTTTCTCGAGCTCTTTTCGTCAAACTTCGGAAAAAAACGGAAACGGTATTTCGGTCTGACCTACGCTACGAAACTATACATGTAAACAAATAGGTTTTTTTCCCTCCAATATCGAGTAAAACTCCGCCTAAATTAAGTAAATTTATAGATATAATAGTAAACAGTATATTATATAGATTACATACTTATTGAAATAGTTGTAGAAACCGAAAGTACAAAATGTCTACTTGTTCGGATTTGTTTATTATTGTTCATCATTATGCATTTTAATATTGATTATAATTGTCAGACATTTTTTTTTAAATTTGATTTTACTGAAACATACTTTAGTTTCCTTTAAATGTCAAATTCACAGAATGCATTCGTTATACATTATCAAAGATTGTATCATAGTTTGGGGACCTTTCTGTTGAGTTGAATCATATACATATACATGCATAGTGCGTTAACTGGAGTACAGGTATTAGTTACCCGCACTCCAGAGCATGCTCATTGATTGGCTCATTTTGCTGGGGTTCACTTATTGTGACGGCCGAGAAAAAGGAAATCGATAGAAGTAACATATTCAGATGCTCGTTCATTGTTTTTCTGGGGTTTCATATTGTGACAACAGGGAATGTGTTTTTTATGTTTGACTATGATACAAAAGAGAAAGAACAAAAAAAAACTAGGCAATCTGATTAATACCCGGGGGCTACGCCCCATCGTACAAATTAGATAGCCTCGTGTTTCGATGCTCTTTCTATTACTTTTAAAACCACGAGGTAGAACTATTTTTAATCTGTAAGTCCGAGGTTATCATGAATAATAGCAAACATGTTCCGATTGGTCTACACTGTGTTGCAAGCGCCTACGTCATTAACATAATACATTCAACACAGAATTATATTATTTAATCATTTTCAGGTAATCGGAGCTGTTATAAGCTACAGACCACTTCTCCGGAACAAAGGTAGCATGTTTGTAATAAACCTGGCGATTGCGGATCTCTGTATCACGGGGATTGTATGTCCTATGAATATGATAGGTAAAGTTTTTATCTAGCTATTGTCATTTAATTGATTTATCTTTTTGTTTTAGGCCACACAAAATATGGTTTACATATATGACTTAGTTTGTATTATGAGTTCGTTTTAAGGATACAATGAACATTCGATATAGTGCATTCTATGCTAGTGGAATATGTAAAAGCTTTTTTATTGTTATCAAAACCTGCATTGAACTGATTTTCAGTATAAACAGGTGCAAGGGATTATTTAATAAAGCTGGCAGCTTTTTAGTAAAATATCGTAAACAAATCTCACATGTAAGGCATTTTAAACAATGAAAATCCGTCAAAAAAATCTCATGCAGTTCATATAAATTCTTTTGATCTATTCAACATTCCAGGTGTAACAAAGGGCCCTCGTTTCTTCTTAGACAAAGTCCAATTGTGTAATCTGCTGGGAAGCATTTGTACAGTAAGCTGTATAGTGTCTATGCTATCAATAGCAGCTGTCGCTGTAAATCGGTGAGTAACGTCACTGTTAATAGCAGCGGTAGCTGTTTATCGGTGAGAAAAATCATTGTTAATAGTAGATGTTGCTGTAAATCGGTGAGTATCGTCACTATTAATAGCAGCGGTAGCTGTAAATCGGTTAGAAAAATCATTGTTAATAATAGCTGTTGCTGTAAATCGGTGAGTATTGTCACTATTAATAGCAGCGGTAGCTGTAAATCGGTGAGTAACGTCACTATTAATAGCAGCGGTAGCTGTAAATCGGTGAGAAAAATCATTGTTAATAGTAGCTGTTGCTGTAAATCGGTGAGTAACGTCACAATTAATAGCAGCGGCAGCTGTCAATCGGTGAGTAACGTCACTATTAATAGCAGAGGTAGCATTAAATCGGTGGGTAACTTCGCTGTTAAAAGCAGCGGTAGCTGTCAGTCAGTGAGTCAATTCACTGTTAATAGCAGCGTTAGCTGTCAATTGGTAAGTAAATTTTTAATAGCATCGGTGAGTACCTTCACTTTGAATAGGATTTCAACTAAAGCATATCTATCTTACTAATAGAAGATTGTTCTGAAGTCAGAGAAACATTTGCTACAAATTACATTAAACAAGACATGCATCTATGATTTCAATAGAAGGCGCTTTCGTCCTCTTGTTAGTACATGTAGCAGAGTATGCGGTAAATTTAATAGATGACTATTAATTCTGCTTTTGAACAATAGATGCGAGTCGTTTAATATATTGTTAAGAACAAAGCATCATGTTTTCAATGTACAATGGTTGCATGTGTATCGTTTACTTATAGATGTTTGCTTAATCCTGCCTGACATTTTTTTATTTGATCTTGTGATTTTCTTGCATTATGTTTTGTTTGCATTTTTGAGTCATGTTTATTTATGCTTTTATTTAAACACTGCAATATTGTCAGCTATACCATCGTAGTAATGTAACAAACAAATTTAGCATTACATGCAATCAACCTTTAGTATCACACGATTTTACTGAGCCCTCTGATAATTTTAGCGAAAAAATGTTTAAAAAAATGCCTAATAAAAAAACTTTAAAATCATGTGCTTTTAAAACAGACAAAAATAAAGAAATATCCATATTGTCTTACGACATTTCTCCAGATACATGTTACCATTTTTTGTTTGTCAGAACTCCGCGAAAAAATAGTTGTTCAGTGTTCGTTCAAATGAACTTTTTTAAAGACCATCATAATACAACGCAATACAATACCATGCAATGCAGTGCAAAACAATATAATGCCAAACAATATATACAATACAATACAATACAATGCAGTACAATGCAATACACTATATAATGTGTAATACAATACAATGTAATACAATACATACAATGCAATACACTATATAATGTGTAATACAATACAATACAATGCAATACACTATATAATGTGCAATACAATACAATACGATACGATACGATACGATACGATACGATACGATACCATATCATACAATGCAATGCAATGCAATGCAACGCAACGCAACGCAACGCAACGCAATGCAATGAAAAATACAAAAAAAAAACAACAAAAAAAACAATACGACACGACTTTTGGTAATGTTATAGCTTGGTAAAGGTCTTCATGCAAATGGTTTTGTAACAATACACATAGTGCAGCTTATAAACAATGGTTTCACTACTAGATTCGATACGAATATTGCACATATGAATATCCCCTATCTGCATCATTTTATATTTTTGTTAATTTTGTTTTCCTTTGCACCATTCGTACCCTTTAGTTCATTTTGTGTCTTTTATTTACAGAGCAATACAAATATGCAAGCATTTCTCTTACAAAAGAATTTTCACACAGAAAAAGACAATATGTTATTGTATTGCCATATGGCTGTTTACTATTTTACTTGATCTACCAAATTGGCTTGGAATCGGGGGACATACGTTCGCTCTCAAGGAAATGGGATGCACATTTGATCGAGTAGCAAATTACTACTACTCCGTTTTCCTCGCAGTTGTGACGGTTGCCATCCCAATGGCGATTGTTTTTACTTCATACGTGACAACTCTTTGTTATGTAAGGTCAAGTAGAGAAAATTATGTGAAGCATTTTGGAAACCTGCCAAAACAAAGAAAGCATGATGAAATACAATTCAGTATTACGTTATTTATAGCTTTTCTAGCATTCGTATTGTGCTGGAGCTTGTATATGCTTGCAGTTTTAATTGATAGACATGACACGTGGCCGAAACAGGTTTATGTTTTTGGGACATTATTCGGACATAGTAACAGCTGTATGAACCCGATAATTTATGCCTCATTTAATGAACGATTTCGTAGAGGATACAAAGTGTTCTTGAGAAAACTCTGTTGCAGAAAGATTGTCAAAGAGCCATTTCTAAAAGACGCACACTTTACAAGTGGTTTTAAAACATCTAAAAATAGAACATTTTCCGAGTTACGAACAGCCTCTACCAAGTCAAACGAGTCATCGTCAGCCTCTTCTAAGTCAAATGAGTCAGCATCAACTAACAAGTCAAACGAGTTACCAGAAGCATCAACGAGGTCAGACGAGTTACCACTAGCTTCTATTAAGTCAAACGAATTACCACCAGCCTGAACTGAATCAAACAATTGTGATGCTATTATCTGGTAATAGAAACTGTTTCATTGCTCAGACGTGTATGTTAAATCCATGCATCAATACGCAAATGACGAGAATTATGCAAACATACATTTCACACATTGTTTATAAGTATACATGAATATCATAGCATAATCGACGCATCTGAAAAACGTAAACCATTGTTTCTTCTTACTATCCTAGTCAGATTTACTAATCACGTCATTTTGCCTACAAAATTGATTAATGGAGTGTTGATGATAGAATGTTGTATGTTGTTTTTGGTTTGTTACCAGAAAAAGAAGAATGTGCATGTACAAAGTATCAAAAACTATTTAAATCCTATTTCAGTCGTAATCATGTGCCATCAAATAACTTTTGTATCGAATGTGAAATATTTGAAAATGTTTTTTTATTGGATTTTATGAAAACTAGAAAAACTTTAAAAAAAACCCCGGCCATTTATATGCACTAGATTGTTCTTAATTTTATATTAATTTTACTTGTTAACTCATACATATTTTTATATTTTTTCTAATAAACAACTTTTTATTTTGTTAAGAAAGGTAATCGGTTCATTAGACATTATCAGCATTTCATAATTTATGTAAGAGAGATTTTATATATAAGTATTGCAGATACTAGAAAATAAAAGAATATATACATTCCTTTTAACATGTCTTAATATTTATAAGTCCTTAAGTTTTGTCAAGGGAGCTCATGTCTCAATATTGATTAGTTCATAAGCAAGGGGGCTCATGTCTTGATATGGATAAAACCTTAAGCAAGGGAGCTCATGTCTTAATATTCATTAGTCTCTTAAGCGAGAGGGCTAATGTCTTAATATTCATTAGTCCTTAAGAAAGGGGGCTCATGTCTTAATATTCATTATTTCTTAAGAAAGGGAGCTCGTGTCTTAATATTCATTAGTCCTTGAAAAAGGGAGCTAAAGTTTGAATAATCATTAGTCCTTAAGCAAGGGAGTTCATGTCTTAATATTGATAAGTCTTAAGAAAGGGAGCTCATGTCTTCATGTTCATTAGACCTTTAGCAAGGGAGCTCATGTCTTAATATTGATAGGTCCATAAGAAAGGGAACTCATGTCTTAATATTGATTAGTCCTTAAAAAAAGGGAGCTAATGTCTTAATATTCACGAGTCCTTTAAAAAGGGAGCTCATGTCTTAATATTCATTAGTCCTTAAGCAAGGAAGCTCATGTCTTAATATTCATTAGTCCTTCAGAAAGGGAGCTCATGTCTTAATATTGATTAGTCCTTAAGCAAGGGAGCTCATGTCTTAATATTGATAAGTCCTTAAGCAAGGGAGCTCATGTCTTCATATTCATTAGTCCTTAAGCAAGGGAGCTCATGTCTTAATATTGATTAGGCCTTAAGAAAGGGAGCTCATGTCCTAATATTGATTAGTCCTTAAGCAAGGAGCTCATGTCGTAATATTGATTAAGTCCTAAAGCAAGGGAGCTCATGTCTTAATATTGATAAGTCCTTAAAAAAGGAAGCTCATGTCTTAATATTGATTAGTCCTTAAGCAAGGGAGCTCATGTCTTAATATTGATAAGTCCTTAAAAAAGGAAGCTCATGTCTTAATATTCATTAGTCCTTAAGCAAGGGAGCTCATGTCTTAATATTGATTATTCCTTAAGCAAGGGAGTTTATTTCTTAATATTCATTAGTCCTTAAAAAATGGAGCTCATGTCTTCATATTCATTAGTCCTTAAGCAAGGGAGTTCATGTCTTAATATTGATAAGTCCTTAAGAAAGGGAGCTCATGTCTTCATATTCATTAGTCCTTAAGCAAGGGAGCTCATGTTTTAATATTGATAAGTCCTTAAGAAAGGGAGCTTATGTCTAAATATTCATTAGTCCTTAAGCAAGGGAGCTCATGTCTTAAAATTCATAGGTCCTTAAGCAAGAAAGCTCATGTCCTAATATGCATTAGTCCTTAAACAAGAGAGCTCATGTCTTAATATTGATTTATCCTTTTTAAGCAAGGGAGCTCATGTCTTAATATTGATTAGTCCTTAAGCAAGGGAGATCATGTCTAAATATTGATTAGTCCTTAAGCAATGGAGCTCATGTCTTAATATTGATTAGTTTTTAAACAAGGGAGCTCATGTCTTAATATCCATAAGTCCTTAAGAAAGGGAGCTCATGTCTTAATATCGATTAGCCCTTAAGCAAGGCAGCTCATGTCTTAATACTGATAATCCATTAGCAAGGGAGCTCATGTCTTAATATTGATTTGTCCTTAGGCAAGGGAGCTCATGTCTTAATATTGATTAGTCTTTAAGCAAGGGAGCTCGTGTCTTAATATTGATTAGTCTTTAAGAAAGGGAGCTCATGTCTTAATATTGATTAGTCCTTAAGCAAGGGAGCTCATGTCTTAACATCGATTTTGCCTTAAACAAGGGAGCCCATGTCTTTATATTCTTTAGTCCTTAAGCAGGGGAGATCATGTCTTAACATTCATTAGTCGTTAAACAAGAAAGCTCATGTCTTAATATTGATAAGTCCTTAAGCAGGGGAGCTCTTGTTTTAATACTGATTAATCCTAAAGCAAGGGAGCTTATGTCTTTACATTCACTAGTGTTCAAGCGAGGAAGCTTATGTCTTAATATTGATCAGTCTAATTCTTTCTTTTACCGAATAGAGAACAGTCCACATTATACACAACCATTCTGTATTTCTTGCCAATCAATGTATTGCTTTGATTACCAAATGTGTGTTGTATTTGACTTGTGTGCATTCCGTCAACATTGTATTGTCGTGTTCTGAATTTTATTTTTTAAGTTTTACTTGTATCATTTATTTTTTCCTTGCAAGCTACATTATTACTTTCACTTAACCATCAAAAGAATTATTGATGTTTTGTTTGCATAATTCTAGTTTTATTATTTCAAAGCAGAATAAATGATTTTTGTGGTGTGTGTTGCGTTTCGGACGGTGCATGTTAAAGGTAATGTGTATATTTAATTTGTATAGCTCTGTTGTTTTTATTTTTATAATTTTCATATTCCAATCAACGTAAGCTGAATTTTTTGTACAGAGTCCATTTGTATAAATGTTTTTCTTTCTATTTCTTGTTTAACATATCAAATTTGAGTAGTTTATGACGCTTTAATACTCAAAACTTCATTTTCTATTAGTAACAGTTAAAGGTACATTATGCCTCAAAAGTCATTTTTTTAAATAAATAATGTATGAATAATGGATTTAGAGAATGTTAGATGTTTAACAACCGAGGGACGTATCTCTGAAAGTGACGTAACGTGTTGTAAAGGCAGCAACATGTAGACAAAGTACTATTTTGACTACCATACAAAATACAAGTTCATTATAATTATACCATTTGTCGAATGAGCTAAAGAAGCAAACGATAGGCCACTTATATGGTAAATGAGAAATTTTTGGAAAACTTATCAGGTACCGAAAAAATACAGTTGTGGAAAGGTACTTCTGAGGCATGATGGGCCTTTAATAGCAATATCGTTTTATTTTTTTCTGAAGAAGTAATACGCTGTAACATTTGCGTTTAATATTTGATTTCCTCTACGCAAAAATTCATCATATATCTACTTATTCATTTATTTCAGACTGATTCAAATCTGCAAGTTCTTCATATATCACCGTATATTTACCCACAAGAAAACAATATTCTATTGTATATCACTATGGCTGCTAGCAATAACATTGGACCTTCCAAACTGGTTGGGTTGGGGTGGACATACATTTGGCTTAAAGGTAAGTTAAATTTAGATCGCTTTGTAAAATACTGGCAACATGTAAGAATCCCTTGCCAGTGTTTTAGAGTCCATCTAAGTATGTATGTTTGTTTGATAAACCTATGCGGTGTAATTTTTCATTTTTTTAAATATGAACTATCACGACTTATTTTCATATTTGCCTTTTTTTGTGGTGAAATGAATTTCAGGTTATTTCAGTACAATCGTAGTTTGTGACATAATATTTTAAATATAATCCTAATGTTGCTTCACATCGTTATTCTTCCATATAGTGTCAACAAATATTTATTACGCTTGTGCATGCAAGAAATATTATATTAAAAGTATATAGAAATTTCATATTTCTTTCAGTACAAATGATCTGATTTCGTACAGTTGTGTGTATTTTATTTTAAATATTTTCTCTGGATAGCCACCATTACCCCTTATGAAAATGCAATGATCACGTGATTCTAGTTATGATTTAATCGTTGCAGGAAATGGGCTGCACGTTTGATAGAATAGCCAACCATTCTTACACGATATTTTTGGCAACAATGTCAATAGCGGTGCCCATGGTAATTGTTCTAACGTCATATTTGATAATAATACTGTATGTGCGGCATTGTCGGATGGAATTAAAACAAATAGGTGAGTTGAAAGTTACAAGATCCTGATAACAAGTAGACATTTCTATTTGAAAGGCCTCTATTATTTAATACGGATGATACTTTTCATTAACATGTTTCTAAAACAGTAAAATAACCCGAGAACAATGAAAACGATTAATGCAGACTCGGTTCCATTGAATTTTTTTCATGATAGGGAATGAAAGCTGAAGTATTTGTATAAATAATCCGTAAGGCATACATGCCTATGAAGGATGCAAATGTAAATGTGCAACCTGACCGGAACTTGAACCCAGGACTCATGGATATATGAATTTCGACCACAAGTCATAAGTTAACAGGTGTTTTTGTAAAATACATGACATAAATCACATTTAATCGAAAACATCCATTTTTATAAACTTCTTTGAGTGGTTAGACTAAAAGAGCCGTATATTTATTCAATTTTGCAACGGAAGTTACATTTGGCACTTCTCAGAACATTCTGTTTTTGATTAATGTTTTTGTTTCCTATAATAAAATGGGTAAACAGGATATGTTAAAATCCAACTTACTGCATAAATTTTCTTCGAAATGAATTTAATTGTGCTTAATGAATTCAAGTTTCTGGTAAATTACATTATTTCCAACTTCTTTTACGCCTTACTATCTTACATGTGAAGTTTTTTTTGAATTTTACAATTAATATTACTTAACGTGTCGGATTTAACAAAATGCCATAATGTATTAAAATGTGAAATCTTGGCAAACAATGGTAACGCATACGTCGGTGATATTAATCTTAACGAGAATAATGATAGTAAAAGAATAATTATTGCACACATTATACAAGAAAATGTATTTTGTTGCTTGAAGCACGAACCTAGGTTTAAGATGTCATTTATTCAATAAATCTTAGAACAAATAAACTTATTTTCATCATTATCTTCAGTTGCCTAAATATTCAAGAACAAATAAACCGATTTTTATAATTATCAATACCACAATAATAGCCTTAATTAATGTTCAATGTATTTTTGACATATATTTCTGTTTTAATGATATTGTGTAAATTATTCAAATATATACCGAATACTGCTGAAACAAACAAACAAAAAAAAAAAAAAAAAAAAAAACAAAACAAACAAAAAAAAAAAAACAACCCCCCCCACCACCCCCCTCCCCCCCAAAAAAAACAAAAAAACAAAAAAAAAACAACAACAACAACAACAAAAAACAATGTAGAGGATGTGATAGATGTTGTACTTACTATGTGTAAGATTATTCGTACATAAGATTAAAAGATTCTTTTTTTTTACTT